AGATCAGTCACACCCATCTGCACAGCTGCATGCAAATCTAATATAGTGATCACCATTCTCATTAAAATTCAGCCATTCATTTTTTTTTTCTTACCTTCATCTTGCATAGATCGTTTATTTGCCAGAGTGTGCAGGAGCTGAGTGATCACAGCCTATGCAGAGCAGACCTTTACTATTGAAAACATGAGAAGTATGTCCTGGAAGCCTGTACAGCTCACCATACACTATACAATCTGATTTTATTCAGCTTTTTTTTTTTTTTTTAAAGTGGAATTTTTTTTTTGCTGGGCAGAATAAAAATGCAAAACAAGTCAAAAACGCACTACCATGCATTTCAGCAGATTCTCCATTGAACTCTAATGCTGATTTTTGCTTTAAAAAAAGTCTCTGATCCTTTCCAAAAATGCAGCAGCTCAAAAAACATAGATGTGAACATGTTCCATAGGAAACCATGTAAAATAGACTGTAGTGCGTTTCTGCAAAAAGCACTAAAAAACACATTGGTGTGAACCAGGGGTAAAGGAAATTGTACAATCAGATTGTATCGAAAGTGGGAACAAGGCAGTACTGGAACGAGGGAGGTGTGGCCCAGAGTGGTGAACACGCCCTATCATGCCCTCTTCTGTGATGCAACAAGGAAGTGAAGGCTTCTGGGAGCCGACCTACAGGAAGTGAATGCTGAGAGACCATCTACACAGGAATCTGAAAACCATTTTAGAAATCCACTGCACTGCATTACTTCAATTGACAATTGCACAGTCATGCAAGGCCGCACCCAAATTATATTTGTGTCTTTTTTTTTCCCCATGAATTGAGCTTTCTTTCGGTGGTATTTGATTGCCTGTGCATTTTTTATTTTTTGTGTTATAAAAAACCCCCCGACAATTTAGAGAACATTTTTTTGACTTTTTGCTATTTTTTGTGTATTTATAAAAAACCCCCCGACAATTGTAGAGAACAAAACAATATTTTTTTCAAGACTTTTTAGCTATTAAACATGGATCGGCAAGTTAAAAAAAAGGGTTTAGTAAAATCTAATTTCAGAGGATCATGGAAATTTAGGCGGGCAAAGGAGACCAGGTAGGGGGAGGTCTTGTGAGGAGCGGAGTGTGCGTGAAATTGGATATTAGGTCGGCCAAAACAGCTTTGTACCACCGTTGCGCAATCGGAAGCCAGTGCCACCAAAGGTGAATGAGTCTGGCTATTCAGGATGGACTGAAGCTCGGGCGAGGCAGGCCAGTGAGGAGGGAGTTTGCTAGTGCCTTGCCTGAGTTAAACCGGATTTTGAATGATCCCAACTTGCTAAGGATAGGTTGGAGTCCAAAATAACACCAAGTACATTGAATGATCCCAACGCTAGAGATTAGTGAAGGAAAGATGGCTTCCACTCGTCTCTATGCCCTCTAGGACCGAGCGATGTCACTTCTGGCTCCGGCACCTTGTAAACAACGCCTTTTTTTTTTTTTAAAGCACTAGATCAATGCTTTTTTTGATCTAATGCTTTACATTATAGAGGAGAGATGTGGGGTCTTCTTGACCCCATATTTCTCCATAAAGAGGACCTGTCACTAATTATTTCTGTCACAAGGGATGCATGCATGCCTTGTGATAGGAATAAAAGGGACAGTGCAAAAAAAAAAAAAAAAAAACATTCTCACACATACTGGTGAATGCATACATAGGCCATGCCCACATATGTAAACGGTATTCAAACCACACACAAGGTATCGCCACGAACGTTGGAGCAACAGCAATAATTCTTGCACTAGACCTCCTCTGTAACTTTACACTGCTAACCTGTAGAAATTTTTAAAGCATCACCCATGGATATTTTTAAGTACCGCAGTTTGACGCCATTCCACGAGCGTGCGCAATTTTAAAGCATTACATGTTGGGTATCTAAAATATGGGTAAATGTGAGCTCCTAAAGGTACTGAGTAAGCAAGATAATGAGTGATGAAAAAAATAAATAAATAATTAAAAAAGCAGCCAAGCACAAAGGTAACCAAGCAAAACCTCCAATAGAAACAAAATAAAGTGCGGCGCTAAAATCATACAAATAGTCTATAGATGAATCAACATAAAATAGACATAGACATCAATTGCTGATGAAAGTTCATAAGGTGAGTAAAGTGCTCAAAAAATCATGCGTCTTCCTGGGCCCGGTGGATGTGTATATAAGTGTATAAGCAATGCGCACTCACCAGAAAGCGCATGTAAATGCGCATTAGTAATGATTTGATGTCATCTAATGGTCATCATGGGATGATAGCAGGAATCCTGAGCCGGTCCAAAACTGCGCATGCGTCTTTTTCTTACGGTCCAAACCGTCAACCACGTTTGACGTTTTGGACCGGTAAGAAGAAAAAGACGCATGCGCAGTTGCTTTAGGGGATGCCCAGTTTCATGGGATACCCTCCTGGTCGCTACACCGGTGTGAGGAGGACAGCGTTCCAGTTGTTGCAACAGAAAGGTACGACAGCATTTCTTCAGAGGAAATTGGCCTTGCTGTATAGTGCGGGCACTGAACAATTCATTTTATGTCCTCTGAGAATTGTACTGGAAGCACATTGGAATTACCATTAGTGAAGTGATTAAGCTTGTTTGCTATAGTGGAATGGGCTTTGAGCAGAAGAACTCCAAGATTCTTGGAAAGACTTGTCTTAATTCAGGATTCTGCTCGGCCTGAGTTTTTTGGTTCACAGCGATTCTAGCATCCAAAGAGGGAGCCTCCACCAGACACAAAGGAGTGCACCCACCTATCCCATAAAAGGGAACTCTGGAAGATCCTGATATTGACGAATGCATTCCTCTATATCCATCCACCCATAGATGAAAGGCTCAGGATTCCTACTATCAGAATTCCTGTATAGGTCGGAAGGGAAACAGTTAAACATGTCCAGTAAAAAAGTCTAATTTCTTCATAAATTTAGGCCAAAATGTATTCTGCTACGTCTTTGCTAAAAAAAACCCCCTTTGCTAAAAAAAACAACAGTGGCGGGCATTCTGGCACTGGGAGGAACTGACTCTCACTGACATCCCCAGTGACACTAATACAGTGATGAGTGGTAATAAAAAGCACTGACATTGTACTAAGGACACTGGGCAGGAAGGGGTTAACATATGGGCTGTGATCAAAGGTTAACTGTGTGCTGTTTTGCTGTGTGGGTGTGTTACAGTGCTCTATGCAGAGCAATACAAAGCAGGTGCTGGAGCTGAGCAATACAAAGCAGCGTGCTGGAGCTGACAGGGGAGAGATCTGTACTGTTTACATACAGACCTCTCCCCCATCAGTGATATTCGCCGATCGCTGGGTGCCAGCAGGGAATCTCCGGCCCGGACTCAGTGATCGACAGCTGAAGCCGCCAAATCGAAATCACCTCTATATATGTGATTTTGCGCAGCCCTGTTGCCCTGTAGCAGTATTTCTGCTGTAGGGCAGCAGGCAAGCAGTTAAGGGCTGCCACTAAAGTGTAAGTTCACCTTCAGCAACATTTTCAGGTAAAAGTGATCACTTTCACAGAACTACAAAGGTGTTGCCTCCCTCCGCTGACAGCCTTGGTAAACTACTGTAAAATTTAGAGCAGGAGGAACTTGGGGAACATCCATTCCCCAATCTCGCCTGTGACTAATGAACCCAGAAGTGGCATATATTGTGTGACTTCCAGGTTCAGAGATGTCCTTCCCTGACAACTGTAGCTAGAGAAGCAGCTAATCAAGCACAATCTGTACTTGGTTAACTGCAGTGGAGGTCTAGAGATACATTGGGGTTCTAACAGAACCCTGATATCTCCATTAAGAGGACCTGTCACTTGGCCATGATATCACATAGGAGGCGTGTTAGCCCCCTTGTGATAGCAATAAAGTTAAAATAACAAAAAGTAATAAACACATAAAAATAATTTTAAAAAAATTAAAAGCACCCCCTCACTCCGATATACGCCCAATGCATGTAAACCTAAATTGAGCCACACATTTGAGGCATTACTAAGAATGAGTACTAATTCTAAGTCCACCATTTAACACTAAACTGATAACCTATAAAGGCTTTTGAAATGTTGTCTATGGAAAATTTTGCGTACTACAATTTTTCATAATTTCAAGGGCCCTTATTTTATTCTACAATACCTCTTTTTTTCAGAAAATATGTAATTTTTGGGGTATTTAAGGTAATTTCCAGCAAAAAAAATGCTGAATTTAACATGTGTGTGTTATTTAAAAATTTCCCTGGTAGACAAGTGGGAAAAGGGAAAAAAAAAACAAGGAATGCTAAGCTACAAAATAGCACATTTTTTAGGTTTAGATAAACAAATCTGTTTCACTAGTAACAGTAACATTTGAAAGGTTATAGTTCTCTGATTTTCAAATTGTGGACGTTAAAGGAAAAAAATTACCATTGCTGCTTTGATGAACTTTGCCAACATTAACCCTAGGTTAACATCTGTGGGGGTGGTGCTGCTGCGGATCCACACGAAAATCAGTGCAACCGCACCACCCGCACAGAGAAGTGCGGACCCGCAGGCGGGTGCCATTAGTTCTAATGGCACACCGCCCGCACTGGAAAATGCAATCGTACTGGGAACCGAGGTTCCCGTGCGGGCTGCGTTTTCAAAAGAAGTGCAGAGACTTCTTTCCTGCATGTCACGGGCACAGGAGTCCATTCAAATGAATGGGCTCTCATGCTCATGCAAAACGCAACCCGCAAGGCCTCATACTGTATATGTGAACCGGGGGTGAGAGTTTGATGTATGATGACCATGGAAATGGACATGATACCAGTGGCAAGATGCGGAACTCCTTTTATCAATCATTTGAATTTCAATTAAATCTGAAAATGGGCTAAATAACTGTTCTGTGAATAACTGAAAAAAGCCAGTGAATTGTTTGAATTTGGATGCATTACATGTACAAATAATCACACTATTAAAGACAAACAAATGTTACACAATTCTTTTATACCTGATTATTATGGCTTCTACAATGTGCTCTGATCTTCGCAGGCACTATGCGGTCATCTTCCCCTCCGAAATTCGCACTGAGCATTCTGAAACCATATGTATACACCTGGAAGGGGCTCAGGGGGAGAGCAGAGTACAGATCTCCTTACATCTGGAAGAAAAGAACACAACCCTTGTAGAGAAGAGCTTCACGCAAGACTCCATATTCACCTGTGTTCCAGTCAGGGTAAAAAAAGTCCACATCTATAATATGCAAAAAAGTGTAATCTGGACAAGGAAAATAAACAGAGGGTCTACATGACTAAGGGGATGATTAGGACAGGAAGAACATTAAGATGAGGGGCTGGGGTAAGGAGGGAGGTCCAACCTGTATGGGGTTTGAGAGTCAGATGGTTAGGTAGGAACCACAAGGTTAGGTCCTGTGGAGATTGCTGGGACGTCATCTCAGAAAGTGCAAGCTATGATGGTCGTGGGCCCGCCTAGTTCTCATTTAAGATTTGATTCAAGAATGAAAATGGAGGAGATGGTAGATAATTGTCACATCTTGGCTTAAGGAGGTTTGATGGGCCAATGAAATAGATTGTATCAGGGCTGAAATAACCATTAGGCAAAATAAGCACACGCTTATGGCATCAGGGGGGGCAGTTTTCTGCATAGCTAACATGTCCTCAAAGGATAAGTAAACATTTAAAACAAATGGCCTTATAATTTTTGCGCCTTTGACCTAAGCGAACAGATCCCACCCTCCACAGATCTACACCTACCATGATCCAACAGCCAGGGTCTCCATTGTTTACATCTTGTGCTACAAGTCCTCTCTTTCTCCTGATAATGCAAGAGCATTACATCCTGATAGACTTCTATGAGGTGTAGGGTAAAGGTAAGTCATTTCATTACAGGGTTTTAAAGCGGAACTTTACTCATAACATTTTGATAAAAAATCATTTTCTTTAGCAAGGAACATACATTGCACATTAATAATTTTCCTATGAAAATGAATGTGTGCTGTAAATTTCCTCCAGCATTGCTCCTGTTTTTTCTTGCTGTAGGCTGACATTTTACTGAAGCCCAGAGTCCCTGAGCAGCAGTAAATCTTTAGGCTGTCAGCAGATCAGCCTCTACGTTTTATGGCACAGTGCCTAAAAATAGCAATCAACTGAGCAAGTGCAGAGCAGGGTACAGCAGTGTATTACCTGATTTTAAACAGTACAGGCCCTTATTTTTAATGTTTTACATAACTATACTTGAAACAGGGGAAAGCCTGAATTCATCTACCAGGACCTAATTTTCTTACTAATGTTCCACTTTAAGTTCAAAGTGAAAAAGGATTAACATCAAGGTGAGAATATTTTTTAATAAAAGGTTTTGAGTTTGCTTTTACATTTTTGCTAACATCCAAGTAATTTGTGAATATCAAAGGAAAAATTGTGAAAACAAATATGCAGTATAAATAATTTATTTTTTGTTTTTATCCATCAAATGATTTCCTCCTTTATTTTTAGATAGAAAAACTTGGTCACTTGCTTGATTTTGATCCATGCCCAATCAGTTAAATAAATAAAATGAAAATGTTTTTATACTATATAGTTGTGGGGTCTGGCCTATGGCTGACTTGGAAGAAATCTGAAGAAGGTTTATCAATTTTCAAACTTTTATTCCACTTTCAGTACCTATTGGGGTAGATTTACTAAAAGTGGAGAGTGTAAAATATAGTGCAGCTCTGCATAGAAATCAATCAGCTTCCAGTTATTCAAAGCTTAACTAAACAAGCTGGAGTTAGAAGCTGATTGGCTACCATACACAGCTGCATCAGGTTTTTCACTCTACAGGTTTAGTAAATCTACCCCATTGTGTTTTAATGTCTGGCCAATTAAGCAATGGAGTGGCCAAGCTGGCCATCATTGTACTAAGGGCATCGGTTACCCTTCATCTGACCCTAGATGGTATTGTTATCTATATAACACACACAGGGCACATTTGTTGATTCTCCTTGGTTGGTTGTTGGTGTTTTCCCCTGGTACCTTGAGGGAAATTTAAGTGCAACATTTGGTACTCTGCATGAGCCAGTGTGGTGTTACTTGGCTGATCAAATCTCCTGAAACGGATCAACCAGTGAACAATGGGGCTCACAGACAGGCACAATGTTCTATGATCTAAACATATGTGGCCAAAATGGGAAAATCTTCTATGTTTGTGGACATTGTAATAAGACTTTTTTTTCCAAATAGGACATGAGACAGAACAATGATGATGAATCTGAACTTACAGTTCTAGCACACAATCAACGCTTATTTCACATCTGGCAAACATTCATTTATTAGGAGAAGTAAAGATGAGTGTTGATTAGTTACTGTTGTTGTTCTCTTATTAAAGGACAGTTGTAATAGTTTGGGCTCAATTATTTTATTTTTTATAAGTGAGAGAGACACCTATGACACTGTTATTTCTAAGGAAAAACAACTGATGGAAATTCCTGCTGCAGAAGTATGTAGTTTTTAACTTCTTTAGCTGGCTCCTTTACATACAGGGCTTTAGTATACTAGAGCTCAATTCTAACCTATTCATTTTTTTTCTTGCTAAGGTTACCAAATCTGTAGAGTCAGAGGTGGTTGGCACATTGAAGATCTCCATAGAGAATGCAGGGGAAACAGTCGTGAAGAGCAATAAAGTTCTGGTGAAGGAGACGAGATCCAGCCTTCTAGTTCAGACAGACAAAGCTGTGTACAAACCAGGACAAACTGGTAAATATTCCATCAAAATAGAGCGTTGCATGTTCTATTCCAGGAAATAAGTAAAATAGTGAAATGCATGTGGCATGTGGAAGAAAGTCCACATGAGGGGCATTGCTAGACCAAATGTCCAGGGCACATGCAATGCACAGAGCAAGGCCATGAAAATGGTATGACAATTCTTCCTTTTTTTTTAACCAAAAAAGTATAAACAATACATTTAATTTTTTCGCTGCTGCTGATGTAAGTGATATGGCAGTACAGAACCATTCCCAGCTGGCTAGGCCAGTAAGCCTTATGTTTGCTGATGTTATGATACTGACCCCTTCCTTTTCTGAATGAAGACAGGAAGTGATTGGTACAGATCACTCCTGTGTTCATTCATAACTGAAGCCTAGTTAACTGTGTTTACTATGCTTTCAGTTTGTGAATTAACATGAAAGTGGTTCTAAAGGCTCAATGTTTTTTACCATCATGCAATCTATGCATGAAGGTAATAAAACCTTCTGTGTGCAGCAGTGCCCCAGCCCCCTGAATACTTACCTGAGCCTCATCGCGATCCAGCGATGTGAACGACAGCCTCAGCTGTCTCTGGTCTGTGCTTCATTATTGGCTCCCACTGTCAATCACAGCCAGTCAGCCAATGAGGAGAGAGAGGGGGCGGGGCAAAGCCACAGCTGGACACACAGAGCTGCAGGTGCCCCCATAGCAAGCTGCTTGCTGTGGGGGCACTCAACAGTAGGGAGGGGCCAGGAGAGCCTGGGGGGGGACCCAAGAAGACGAGGATCCAGGACTGTGCAAAACACTGCACACAGCAGGTAAGTATAGACATGTTTGTTATTTCAAAAAAACTGAGCTTTAGAATCGCTTGAAGCATCTACAAAGTACTTCCTATTTGTTAATTCATTCATTCAGTACTGCTCTGACTGCAGAAAAGGAAATTAAGGATTATTTCCTCAGTCTCTTTCTCTATCTCAAAAGTAAAATATTAGGGGTCATTTTAGAGCCCTGATATTGCACCAATGCATTACCCAACAGGGCAGTAAAAAATGAAAATTGTAAAAAATAATAAAAAATAAAAATCACTATTAAGGGCTATTCACATGGGTGCTGTTGCGTACAGCATGAATGAGGAGTTAATTATGTGACTGGAGTTCCCACACACAAATTGCTCAGTACATACACATGTGCTCTACAAACATAGCGGTAATGCACAATGGGGGAGATTTACCTAAAACTGGTGCACTCAGAATCTGTTCAGCTGTGCATTCAGCTTCTAACTAAGCTTGTTCAATTAAGCTTTGATAATAAAATGGAAGGTGACTGGTTTCTACTGCAGAACTGCATGATTTTGCACAAGTTTTAGTAAATAACCCCTTTTAAGTGTGCACTGCTATTAGTAACACACTAAGTGTCCATTCACATAAGTAGGCGTGTTAAAATGCATTGTGCACAAGAGCTGCACTTCTAAAATTGTAGTGCTTAATTAAGTTCTCTCTTTTTTTTTTTTATTATATTCACTCAATTCTATGCAGCATCGTTTTGTGATGCGCTGCCACACATTGTAGGGCACTGCCTCTATCATTTTATCACAATGCACACCAATGCAGCGCACACATGGAACTGTGCTTAGTTGTTGGCACAATGCATAGGAGTGAAGACAACCTCCAGCTTGGTTAGTTGTTGTTTTGCATACCTTTGATTTTCACCTTTTCGCAAAAAGACAAAATTGAAAATGTAAAAATATTTGTTATTAACTAACTGCCTGTTTAGCTTTTAGATTTAGCAGGTAATTATATATAGGAATTTTGGAAGGTATTTGTGAGCACCAATAATGATTTTTGTATTTTTTTAAATATAATTTTTTAACAAACATTTGCGCAAACTATCATGGGACCTACAAAATCAGTAGCACCAACTTTTTATTCTACTGGTCCTATGTTTTCAGGAGTCTTTTACAAACTCTGAAAGCTGTAAGTGAAAAATTAAAAAGTTGATAAATTGTAAAAAAAGGTCTGGCCACCTGAGACCTAACCAGTTCAAGTCCGGACACTTTCACCCCCTTCCAGTCCAGGACAATTTTCAGCTTTAAGCACTGTCACACTTTGTGTGACAATTACTCAGTCATGCAACATTGCACCCATATGACATTTTTATCATTTTTTTAGATAGATGGAGCTTTCTTTTGGTGGTATTTTATCAGCACTGGTTTTTTTTTTATGTTTTGTTGCATAAATGAAAATATACTGAATATTTTGAAAAAAAATGTTGTTTATTGTAAAACAAATTTGCAAATAAATAATCTTTCTTCATACATTTAGGCCAAAATATATTCTGCTACATTTTTTGGTAAAAATAACCCAAAACAGTGTATATTATTTAGTCTATACAAAAGCTATAGAGGCTACAAACTATGGGATATATATCTGAAAATTGATCAGTTGAGACCTTAAAATGCAGGCTGCTAGTATGGGGTATGGCAGTGCTCAGGATGTTGGTATGAGGTATGGCAGTTATCAGGATGTTGGTATGGCGGTTATCAGGATGCGGGTATGGTGGTTATCAGGATATTGGTATGGCAGTTATCAGGATGTTGGTATGGCATATGGGGTGATCAGGATGCTGGTATGGGGTATGCCGGTGATCAGGATGCTGGTATGGGGTATGCCGGTGATCAGGACGCTGGTATGGGATATGCCGGTGATCAGGACTCTGGTATGTGGTATGACCGTGACCTGGATGCTGGTATATGGTATTACGGTGACCAGGATGATGGTATGACATATGGGGATGGTCAGGATGCTGTTTTGGAGTATGATGATGATCAGGGCACTGGTATGGGGTATGATGGTGATCAGGGCACTGGTATGAGGTATGACAGTGATCAGGGCACTGGTATGGGGTATGACGGTGATCAGGGCACTGGTATGGGGTATGGCAGTGATCAGGGCGCTGGTATGGGGTATGGCAGTGATCAGGGCACTGGTATGACATATGGGGATGATCAGGATGCTGGTATGGGGTATGATGGTGATCAGGGCACTGGTATGAGGTATGATGGTGATCAGGTCACTGGTATGGGGTATGACAGTGATCAGGGCACTGGTATGGGATATGGCAGTGATCAGGGCACTGGTATGGGGTATGGCGGTGATCAGGGCGCTGGTATGGGGTATGGCGGTGATCAGGGAGCTGGTATGGCGGTGATCAGGGCATTGGTATGGGGTATGACAGTGATCAGGGAGCTGTTATAGGGTATGGCAGTGATCAGGGCACTGGTATGGGGTATGGCAGTGATCAGGGCGCTGCTATGTGGTATGGCGATGATCAGGGCGCTGGTATGGGGTATGGCGGTGATCAGGGCGCTGGTATGGGGTATGGCGGTGATTAGGGCACTGGTATGGGATATGGCGGTGATCAGAGCGCTGGTATGGTGTATGACAGTGATCAGGGCACTGTTATGGTGTATGGCGGTGATCAGGGCACTGTTATGGCGTATGGCGGCGATCAGGGTGCTGGTATAGCATATGGCAGTATTCATGGCACTAGTATGGGGTATGGCTGTGATAAGGACCGCTAGTATGGCAGTGTTCAGAACATTGGTAATGTGTATGTGATCAGGGACACTGGGGTTAGCCCGCATCAGCACTGCTTCCTGTCCACCATTTATAGGCAATGGACAGACGGGAAGCAGTTAAAGAGGAGCATGTGGCCAGGCAGTGAAAGAATTAGTGACTCTATTGCCTTTAAAAAAAACTGAAAAGAAGATAAGAATAAACACTTTTCTTTGGCAGGCAACCTTTTTATTTTGTCATTCATTTTTATTAATTTTAAACTAGATATAAAGTTTAAGTGTTTTTTACCTTTATGCATTAGAGCAAAAAAACACTCCATTACCAGTTTCCCTCCCCTGTCCCTGAACATCTGACTCCTCCACCGATACAGCACTGTCTCGTCTGCAGCTCTGCTCCACTCTGTTCCTCTTCTCACAGGATACACCAAGAACAGTAGGTGCCACAAGCACCTGTTGCTGTCAGTCAAGTCCTATAAGGAGGGAGCAGGGGAGTGGCTGAGCCACACTCTGTGTATATCTATGGACTCATACAGCCTGGCTTGGGAAAGGCCCGCACAGGTGCCCCCTCAGCACACAACTCACTGAGGGGACACACCTACGAAGGAGCAGAGGAGCACTTCAGAAGAGGTTTAAGGGACCATTTTGTGTAATACCAATGCACAAAGCAGGTAAGTATTGCTTCTCTTTTTATTTTAAATAAACAAAAAAAGTATGGTTTACAATCACTAATGTGGTTCTAAAGGCAAAACATTTTTTTACCTTAATGCATTCTCTGCGTTAAGGAAAAAAAATTTTCACTAGCTCTTCTCCCTCCTCCTGTCCCAAAACATGTACCTGCTTCCATTCACCATCCAGCACAGTCTCCGTCTTCAGAAGACACTGGCAGCTCTCAGTCAAATCCTGTGAGGAAGGAGTGGGGGGGTGGCCAGGCAGCACTGTGTGTGTCTATAAATGCACACAGCACAGCTCAGGAGCATGCCTACACAGGTGTCCCCATAGCACAAAGCTTGCTACGGGGGTATCCACAAGAAGAAGAAACAGACAATGCCAGTGGGATCCTGTCCAAAGAACAGGTAAGGGACAGCTTTGTGCAATATCATTGCACAGAGCAGGTAAGCATACCCCCATTTTTTATTTTAAGAAAAAAAAAACCTTTTGCCTTAATAATCACTCTAAGCCTCACACAAAGTCCTATTGTTTCTTATTGGTAAACTCTGAACCGAAACCCTGAAAAGACTTCTTAATTGATTTAGGAGCAATCCCATATAAAATATCACATATAACATTTTATATTTGTGTTTTACAGTGAACTTCAGAATTCTCTCCCTTAATGAAGATCTTCAACCACAAAATATTATAGTAAGTACCTCTGGGAGAAATTTTGGGGCTGATATATCAGCAGCTCTATGGACTTCACCAACAATTATTTGTATCTAGAATAACATCATATCATGATTCAAGAGATATTTCAGAAATTCTTCAACTCTTTTCATTGGAATCGCATGTCTCTAGCAGTCATAAACTCGTGCAGAATGTCTTTTTCATAGCTGGTTAACAGAGGCACTATTCACAGTCCCAGCTGGGTCCTCATTAACTATCTGTGAAAGTGGATTTAGATGTGGTGCTGTGTTGTAGATAGCATAATACAGACCTTGAAACCTTTATAAGACATACTGTACTAAATAGCCCTAGTACGATCATGGAGATCTTTTAATATGTTTTGGTGCAAAGATAATCTTCACTGACAGAGACTAATTGTACAGCATGTGGTTACTATGTGTGGCATACAGTCTGCAGCATAGTGTAACCAGTCCCCTGCCAGGAACAGAGGGGTAAAAAAAAGTCTGATTTTGGTGCTCAAGAGGCTGAATAGAGAAGTCGCTGCATTCTGAGTACAGAAAGGCGCTGTCTTTGTGCACCTCTAAAATGGCACCATAAGCAAAACGCAGACACCTAGTAATAAGGGGTGCTTACTTATGGAAACCTTTGTTTCAACCTCTTGGTCAATAGGAGTTGCCCATTTCACTGAGTGACCAATCGAAAGCTAGGTGGGAAATGGCATAAGCAAGCTGTAACTGTGCTCTAGCCAGCCTTTACATAACTGAGCCCCCCTTGGTTTTAATATTCCTGGGGTGCACTAAAGGCCAATTCACACCATGCCTGGAGCTGATCACACAGTGTGCTGTGGGATTTCAAGCCCATTCATTTTTGAATGGGCTAAAATTGCACCACACTAAAAGTAGTGCATGCACTACTTTTCAAAACACACTGTAACCAGATCACATGATACTTTTGCACCATGCGATTAGGTGGCAGCAGGTGTGGGCAAACGCACTGCGTTTGCAACATGCTTTTGGGGTGTCTTTACATTATTTTTTTACACCCACTGCAGATCATAAAAGCAGTGCATTTTGCATGCAGGATGAATCGCACAGGAACGCACAGTGGGGGCATAGAGTGAACCAGCTCTTAGAGTAGCCTTTCTCAGATGGAGTTTCTCCAGAAGTTTCTAGGGGATCCTAGAGCACTGAGCAGCTTCTACCTCTCAGAGGGGTAACCACCAGGGGCGGACTGACCATTTGGAAACTCAGGCACTGCCCGAGGGCCCGGGGCAGTAGGGGGCCCCATGAGAAGCCCCTGGAACCTTTTTCATAGACTTTTTGAGTTTGGGTAAGGACACAGGGGCCCCATGATCCCCTATTGCCCGGGGGCCCCATGAGTAGTCAGTCCGCCCCTGGTAACCACTGATAATAATGATCTTTTTAGCTATCTGTAAGGGGGAATTCTTCCCAAGGAACAGCAATGTAAGGACTTGGAGCATTCTTACCAGTGACCATGGCATTAAGATGCTGTGAGCTGTAGTTATAGTAATTATTAGCCGAGGTTCCCTGAGACTGGAAAGGTATTTAAAGGATTCCTGCATATAAACGCCAGATAGCCGTGTTTTCAGCATTAAAGCATTTTTACAGCTGAATAACCTCCTCTTCACACTCAGTAGTTCTGTTTTTTTTTCCAGCTTAAAAACGCCCCTGCCAAAAAATGCTGAAAAAAGCCTATGTGTGCATGAACATATAGGATAACATGCTGGGGAGTTTATTGGGTGTAGAAAAAAATGCCTGATGTCCAAAACAGCAGCTGTAAAAATGCCCAGTGTGCATGAGGCCTAGTAGTACTGCTTTGACTAGATTGATCAGATATTGCTATTGCTTTATGAAATCTGCTAACTGCATAAGGCAGACAGGGAAGGAAAGCCACTGTCACCAGGTGGCTGGTTTTCTGATACTGTACAGGAGAGATGTTATGTGGCTGGTATAGAGGCTAACAATACTCAACAAAGTTCTTTGCTAAAAAAACAAATTAAACTATATATCACTAAAGTGGAACTTTGCTCTCTCAGTCAACACTATTTTTAATCCTTATGCAGCTAGAATTAGTAAATAGACAGGAAATTATATTACATTTACTTGTTTACAACTTTTTTTTACATTTCTTCAGTTACTTCCTGGTTTCAAGGCCTAGGCAAATGACATCATACATCCCAGGTGACTTTAGAAGGGAAGGAGGGGTTTTCTCAGCTAAGCCCACCCTCCTGCTCCATGCATGAGCTAAAGGCAGATGGATTCCAGGAAGTAAATGCTACATGAATCATCTGCCCTAACTCAAGATGGCCACAGCCAGAAATTCTAGGGAGAAAATGTTCAAAGTGATTTTTCAGCAAAATAAAACATGGGGATGTGGATTTGCTTTGAATATTAAAAATGAATTAAATTGTGTTTTTGCTTTGTGGTGCTCAGATGCAGTGTAGTTCTGCTTTAAGCACATTATTTGAGCTATTATAATATTTATTATATTGGATTGTGCAAACCTTTACACTTTGCATGCTTGTTGTATCATATTTACATTCTTACATTACATATGGGGGATGTTTCTAAAGCAGTGATTGTCATATTCACCAATCACCTCAATGTAAACACATGTACCAGGAAGATAAACCTGCAGTGAATAATTAGTGAAAGTCACATTCACTGCTTCATAAATAAACCCAGATTTGTAGATCATTTTCAGTCAAAGAAGTATAAATAAAATATAACAAATGCCTGTCTGTTTTCTTTCTCTTTCAGTTTGCAGCTGTAGAACTACAGGTAAAATATTTAACCCACATGTAAATAAACTTGATATGTATGTGAAAATATAATAGCATATTTTATTTGTTTTTCTACTATAGCCACCATGGAGTAGATTGCACTCTTGCCTCTATGTTTAACCCAGCCTAAAACCCTATCTGCATGGAGTTTGTATGTTCTCCCCATGATTGAACAGCTACCCCCCCCCCCCCCCCCCCCCCCAACAATCTGAAAATATGTCAGTAGTTTATGTTGTGGTCATTGCATGTAAACACTTGAAAACACGTTAATGCATGTTTGCTCTTGTTGATGTTCATTTGCTGACTTGTGTTTACAACATGCATTGACATATATTTCTGCTCATTTCAATGTAAATGAATGTGTGCGAAAAGCCCGTATGAATCCGGCACCTGTCTACAAATTTAATTTAGTATTGTCAATAACCAACCTAATTCATATATAGCGGTCCGTTATACAAAGTTAGAAAGTCACGTTAATCTAGCCTATGTCCTCTTTTAAGGACCCAGGAAAGAACCGGATTGGTCAGTGGCTGAATGTGAGCATCAGTCAGGGATTATCTGAGTTTTCCCTTCCCCTGTCTTCTGAGCCTCCATTGGGGGAATACTCCATTCGGGTGAAGGACACAGTCCATACCTTCACAGTGGAAGAATATGGTGAGAAACTGCCCCTCAAAAACATTTATTACTAATAGTCTACACAAGGGGTCTGCTACCTCTGGCCCCTACAAGATTTTATCTGGCTACCCCGGCTGGCTGGTAGTGAATGCACTAGTCTGTGTGTTGTAAAACACAAATTGGTGTGTCCACTGCCAGCCAACCAGGTACTCCTGGATGTAAGGTGGCTCTACTGGGCACTCTTAAATATATGGGGCAACTCTGTTGGGCATTCCTAGATGTAAGCATAGAGTTTGCTGTGCACTGCTAGATGTAACTAGGAACTCTGCTGGTCACTCTTGAATGTAACGGAGGATTGTGCTGGGCACTCCTGGATGTAAGGAGAAGACCCTGTTGGGCACGTCTGAAATTAAGGGGGGCCATGTTTGGTACTCTTAGATGTAAAGAGGGAGCATGGTGGGCATTCCTGGATGTAAGGGAGGAGTCTGATGGGCTCTCCTGCATGTAAGGAGGGACTTATTCATTAATTTAAGCTTTATTTGTTTAGTTATAAAACTAATTTTTTTTGGCCTATTTATACAATATGACCCTTGTACTGAGAAGCTTAGGACACCTGGTCTACACCATCCTTGAATTCTATTATTATATCTCTACAGTTCTTCCAAAGTTTGAAGTTTCCCTTCAGTTCCCCAAGGTTGTTATGTTTGATAGTAACAAGTTCCCACTTCATATATGTGGAAGGTGAGTCTAAATATCAGTTTATGCAACCTTGCATAGTGACTGGAAGAAAGGAAATGTGACATGGTTCACAAATTTTCCAAGTACTCCTTAATGAAAATTAACACTTTCTTTGTTACATGTTAGAAATGTTTTATGTCTTTTAGATACACTTATGGGAAGCCAGTTCAAGGAAACTACACTGCCACTGTGTGTCACAAACATTACAGATATTGGTGGAGAAGAATGAGTGATAGCAAAACTGATATCTGTACGAATTTCTCTGGAACGGTAAATGTAATAGAACGGCAATTAAATTGTGAAAAGATAATGAATACTGATAATATTATTATACAGGATTTATATAGCACCAAGAGTTTGCACAGTGCAGAGCACTTTACAACATGAGGGCAGACAGTACAGTTACAATACAAATCAATACAGGAGGAATCAGAAAGCCCTGCTCATTAGAGCTTGCAATCTAAGAGGGAGAGTCAAGTGATACAAAAAGTAATAACTGTGGGGATGAGCTGATGGAGAAAATAAAAGCACAGTTGTTAGGTGGGGCAGGATAGGCTTTTCTGAAGAGAAGGGTTTTCAGGGATCTAAAAAAAAGGACTGAGTAGGAGATAGTCAGACAGATTGGGGTAGGGAGTTCCATAGGATGGGAGTAGGTGACAAGGGAGCTGGAGAGCAGAAGGTCATGGGAGGAATGAAGAGAACGATTAGGTTTGCATTTTGAGACTAGGTTAATGAAGTAGCTGGGGGCCAAGTTCTGGATGGCTTTGTAAGTTGTTGTTAGTATTATGATATTAGTTTGTTGGTTGAGTGGAAGCCAGTGGAGGGATTGGAAGAGAGGGGCAGCAGCATTCATGATGGAGTGAATGGGGGATAGCCTATGTAAAGGTAAGCCAATGAGGAGGGAGTTTCTGTAGTCAAGGTGAGAGATGACCAGGGAGTGAATTAGAAGCTTTGTAGTGTCATTGGTTAGAAAGGGAAGTATTTTTAGATGTTGCGTAAGTTGAGGCAGCAGGCTTTGGACAGTGATTGGATGTGGGGCCGAAAGTATCCTTCAGAGTCCAGTATTACGCCTAGAACCTTGGCATTTGGTGAAGGGTTGATAGTGTAGCCATTGACCTTAACAGAGAAGTCAAAGAAATGGCACTTGGGGGAGAAAATATGATCTTGGCTGCTTTGGGTGTCATTCGTGTAGAAATTGTATTGGAAGCCATGGGAGGCTATCAACTGACCCAGGGAGGAGGAGTAGATCAGTCCAAGAGCAGAACTTTGGGGGAGCCTGATGGAGAAAGGAAAAGGAGAGGATGAAATAAAATTGTAATGCTGAAGGTGCAGTGGGATAGGTAGGATGATAATAAGCAGAGTACAGTCATGGAGACCAAAGAAGTGGAATTTTCTGAAGAGGAAGGGGTGGTCCACTGTGTCAAAGGCAACAGAGAGGTCCAGGAGTAGGAGTACAGAATAGTGTCTATTGGTTTTATCTATTAGTAGATCATTTGTGAATTTTAGGAAAACAGTTTCAGTGGAGTGTTGAGCGGAAAATGCAGACTGAAGGGGATCAAGAAGGTTATTCTCAGTGAGATGGTCTCTCAGTCGGTTGTAAACCAGACATTCAAGGAGTTTGGAGGATAAAGGGAGCAAGGAGATGGGGCTTAGGTTCTTAAGATTGGTGGGGTCCAGTGAGGGCTTTTTAAGTATGGGGGTGACTAGTACATGTTTTAGAAAGTTGCCAGAAAAGAGGAAGAGATTGAAGTTATGAGATAGAGAGTGTAGGATCGAGCCAGAAGGTGACTGTAGCATTTGCAAGGGAACAGGGTCCAGGGGGCAGGTGGCTGGGTGGATGTTAGAAAAAAGTTTAGCAACCTCATCTATGGTAGCAGGGTTGAATGAGGGAAAGAAGAATTATACTAGAGGACATGGAGTGTTAAGTGGCTGAAGTGTCTCCTCATGAATTGCATCAATCTTATTTTTTCAGCGATTGGCAATCTCTGGGCAGTGATTGAGTTAGTGGGTGGAGGACAATGTAGAGAGCTGATGGTTGAGAAGAGTTGGCAGGGTTTCTTTGTGTTAAATAAATACATATAGTAAAGATGTATGCGAGCACAAGATCAGAAAAGCAGCTGGCATGCAAGGTAAGCCTCTTGACCCCCAAATAATCCAATATAAATATAAATGCAGCGCTAAAAAATGATAAACAACAATACTAGTAAAACATAAGAAGTGGGAGCTTATTCAGCGCTATAAAGTGGTATAATAGTGAAACGTCATAACGTGACGTATCTCCCAGATAAAGTCAATAAGTATAAAGTGACTATAGTGCATATTATGGTATAACTGCAAATGAAGTCCAGATAAAATGGTGATCCGTGCTGGTGATCTCTATGGTGAGGGCCAGTAATAGGAATCCACTCACCAGAAGCGCAAAAGGTATGCGCATGTCTCCACCAATGGTCATCTGGGTCAGGTTGAGGGCAGTGCAGTCATCTGGCACACCATAGGCATACAAGGCAACTCCAGTCACTCACAGGACACTCTCTGCTCCCAGGGACAGCTCCAAGCAAACGTCAGACCATCAGACCAGAAACATCCAGAATTGGAGAAATCTCCACCTTAGGGGCTTGCTCAGCAGATGTTCTGAACTTCTTGCAGAGTGCTTTATAATGTCCTGACCAAATAGTATTGCCTAATTCTGGATGTTTCTGGTCTGGTGGTAATATGCACTATAGTCATTTTATACTTATTGACTTTATCTGGGAGATACGTCACATTATGACGTTTCACTATTATACCATTTTATAGCACTGCATAAGCGCCCACTTCTGATATTTTACTAGTATTGTTGTTTATCATTTTTTAGTGCTGCACTTATATTTATATTTCTTAAATAAATACACAATTGAGAAAAAGAAAATAGGTCTGCATTGCAGTTTGGAGGCAGGAATTGTATTTTTGGAGGATTATATTGGTTGAAATCTTTCTGAGACTAAATCTTATGCCACAGGTGCTCCAGGGCATTTTTTCAGACTTCTGGTGTGGTCTGTTTGTCAAGGTTGTAATGGTCAAGGCCTTATTCTGTGGGGGGCTGGTCAAATTGGGCATATGTCAATGGCTTTTTGGTGCAGTACAATCTATCACAGTTGACCTCAATGAATCTGTTGGCTGGGTGTCAAAACACCCTTTCAGCACCTGCATGAGTCCGTAGACAGCTCCGGGTGCTTCTATTGATATTAAAGCAGTTAATGTTTAACCTGCTGTCTCTCTGGTTCCCCCTTCCCCACCTGATCACCATGCTATTGGTATTATTAAATTAAACATTTACATTTTAGTTACATACTTTATTTTAGACCAAGTGATGTAATCACTCTGTGCTTCTGAAATATGGGCAGATATGGCTGGTGGGATGACCAGTGGGGTGCTATACGTAAAAAAAAAAAATCACAGCACCCTGCCTCAGTACTCAAGAGCCCTTAGCCCTAATGCAAGCAGCGGGCTGTTTTTTGGGAAGAGTTATGCATATAGCACAATGCCTTGATGGATGGATGTCAGGGGACAAACCAGGGATAGGTCGAGGAGGTAAGCCTGGAGTACAGCTTTATCAGAAGAAGCTAAACAAGTTTGGAGCCAGCAGTTATTTTAGGCACAGTTGTTACACAGACCCTGACACCTGTCCTACCCTAAATAAGTTATAGATCATTTGGAAGTTCAATTGTAATGGATGAATTTTATAAAGTTACAAAATTTACACAAAGTGATCTCAGGATTTCTTTAACATTCTAAAAATACCCCCTAAGATAAGTCAATAGAGCTTCTGGCAAACTCTGCCTTTGATTTTTGTACCTAAACAAAAACCTTCTTTCCCTTTTAGTCAACAGCCATAGTGTTCCCTTTTGGAAACTAAGACCATATATACCCCTAGACCCTTTACTTGATTTGTCTATTTATAACAGTTCAATATAGATACGAATGACTGTTCTGTTTCAAATCCCGCTTAATGCATTGACATACCTCCTTAGACTCATTTTGCCTGGAGAGCATGGACACCTGGTTACTTGGCACCATCCACAGGCATCTTAACTCTTCAATAAGACGCAGAAGTTGACTCCAACACAATTTTATTTCTCACAAGTGCAGTAGAGAGAATGTTTTTCCGTTTTTTAAAGTGCAAGAAGACAATGAGTTTCTAAACCTTGCCTCTATAAAGTATTAACACTGACTGAGAGAACATGGAAATAACAGGGAGGGTACAACTAAGACTAAACTAACTAGCAATAAACAGGAGGGGAGGACATGGGGAGATATTAAATCACATATATATCTAGTTGTAGTGACCCTCAGTCTCCACTTGATGTCAGCAGACATCAAAACAATCATAGAAAAAGCTGAATACAACACAGAAAAAAATACACTTCAGTAGGGCAGAACAAAAAATATAGTTTTCAGTAGTGATATTATTCCAACAAATTACAGGACACATTTCCTCAGAGCAAATCTCTATCTATGAAAATTCCCTAGTGCTCATATATTCATTTTTTGGCAACATACATTTTATATAATAAAGAGTCAGTGCATCCACAACTTAATGTCTGTATTGGGTAGTCCCTGGTGGGAATTACCTGCCTTCCTGCCAGCCCATTGAGGACAATGTCAACTTTAGGGTCTCCGAGAGATTGCAGAAGTAGATAATAAAATGTTTAAGGACCATTCCACACTACAAAAACGCACTCTGGATACATTCTGGATATGTTTTTGCTTACAGTTCACACCACACACTGGAAACTGACTGGAACTGACTGCACTGGTGTGAACTAGGGCCATTGGAATACATGGAAAACACTGTGCATTAATTTTTGATGCAGAAAAAAAGTGCACTGAACTGCATCTAGTGTGAACTAGCCCTAAAAGGTTTGACCCTTAAATATGTGTTTCCAGCTGTACAGTCCTCTGCCTGATTACTAATTCCATGTGTGTGTGTGTCTCTCTCTTTCAGCTGGACAGATCAGGATGTCATATAATAGACGTCAATTCTGAGGCCCTTAACCTGAGGAGCACTGGCATGGAGGATGTTCTGAGAGGAGAAGCCTCCATCACTGAGACTGGGACAGGTAACTTCTATTAATTTTCTGCTGTCACACTTAGAAACTGAACATGTAATGGACACAGGATCCTAAAACAGAACTAAAATTACATTTTAAATTTCAGAGGAACAAAAGTACCTCTATCGGTCTTTCTTTTTGAATGTAGCACCCTCCTAGGTAGGTGCTAGGATTAGATAGATAGATAGATAGATAGATAGATAGATAGATAGATAGATAGATAGATAGATATAGATTTTAGTTATGTTTTGATAAGTACATTTAGTTGTCATTCTGTAGGCAGAATGGCTGTAAAATTATAGTTAGCTCACTGTACTGAGTGAGCTGTAATCATCTCGTGAGGTCTGCTCTATGTGCTCAGATGCTGCTAGTCTGCCTAGCTTCCTCTGTATCCCGGAGATTGCAGAAGTTTCTGGATGATAGGTGTGGAGCTATGCAGATGGCAGCATGAATATTGATACAGCCTTAGCCTATTCCAGAGAGGGGAGCTCTAAGGCATGCTGGGTAACTGTATATATTCAGTGAGCACACAGGACTCTGGGTCTTTCCTGGCTAGGATTGCCCAAGCCAGGAAGATGGCATGTAACCCTCCCAGGCAGCTCCTGCCATAGGCCTCTGGGTTATCTGAGGGTCTGAATTGCTGAGACACAGGTTCTGCTATGCTGACTGAGGAGAGGGGGGGCTGTCTCCTGAAGATCTGGTCTGGTATCACAGAGGAAGGCATCCAGCTGCTTTTGGGCCTTGTGGGTACAGATATCCCTAAAGGATCTTAGAGACTGTGTGCTGCTTAACCCCCTCTGGTATAGGAAGTCAGCTGCAGGTTTAGCAAATGGAATACCGTCTGGTGTTCCGAAGAGCTTTGTCCACCTGCCCACTAGTACCTAAAGGGACACTGCTCTGGAGCTCTAAAAAGTTACTACTTGTTGTTACTGCTTAAAGCTGAAGTCTACTGTTTGATTTAAGCACAGACTCTGATATAGCTTGCCCTGAAGATTAGAATAAGTCCTGCATGTACATAGTTCCTAATCTGCAGTATCTCATTCATCTCCCTCATCCCTAAAAAAACACAAAAACAACACCACTAGACTGATTATTGGAGAAACAAGTGAATGAGCCTATGTGCCTGGCTGCAGGGCAAAGTATTTGGGGAGAACCTGGACAGTATTTTAGCAGCTCCTACAGGAGTAGCATTACATTAATAAGCTAGTAAACTTAAATGTATAGGTCGTCTTCACCAAAAAAATGACTAAGTAAGGGGTGACTGTAGATAAACACAAATTGGCAGCTTTGGCTAAAGTTAAAAAATGTGGTTGCTATAGGTGTAGTCCATTTACATACTTCCCTAAGCCTGGCAGAAAAACTCCCAGAGATTGCCTCTCCTCATCCTGCCCTGTTGCTAGGATTATAAGAGACGCCTAGCTGTTACTGTTCACCTCCACCATCACAGGAGCAAGCGCTTTCGCTCATTCAAACCCCCTCACATGCACTTTCTCTCCTTTGATACAGTAGCTCTGAGTTCAGCATTTGAGAGCTCGCTCCTGTGATAGGAGATGTGATCAGTAACAACAAGGCAGGGTGGGAAGATGTCAGCTCTGGGAGTTTTCCAGTCTTGCTTCATAAAATATGTAATTGTCCTACACCTATAGCAAGGGCACAATTCAACTTTGGTCAGAGCTGCACAGTTTGTTTTTATCTACACACCTAACCTGCATAGGCAGTGCAAGACACATTGGACGAAACGGGAAGTACAGCCCACATATGTAAAGGGAAAATAAAGCTATAAAGATCCCTAGTTAGGTTGAAAAAAGACAGTCTATCAAGTTCAATCAACATGAGTTATTAAAATTTTGAGGATGCACCAATACCCTTTTTTACCCCGATTACCAATACTTTGTGCTGTGATTTGCGTCCATACAAAATGTATGGAAGCAAATTGCACATTGCACCAAAAAGAATAGCATGTAATTTGAACAGGAATGTCCTGAGTTCACACAGGAGCGGTGCAGGAAGGTTTTCCTGAACTGTCATCCCTGCAAGGAGAGGAGAGAAAGCGGCGGGGATTTGAAATCCCTGCTGCTTTCTCTCCTCTCCTACCGCTGAGAATATGGACCATTTGCTTCCATAGCCTACGTCCCCACATGCTCACTCTCCGCTCAGCATGGGATGCCTACAGGGAGGTTTCCTATGATGAGCCTGGGTTCACACCCAGTGGGGAAAACGCATGTGATTTGGGCAAGAATCACATTCCTGTTCAAATCGCAGGCTAATCTTTGCGGCGCAAATCACACCGCAAAGTATCGTTTTCCGGTATCGCGTTCTTGTATGGGTACTTTTCACGGTATCATGAAAATACTTGATATCGGCACCGATACCAATTATTGGTGCATCCCCATAAAAGTTCATCGCACAGTGGACAATAGAAACATAATAAACATACAAGTCATGTGTCCTAATCTGACAAGTCATAGGCTTTAGAATAGTAATATAAATTGAGATCATGGATCTAATCAAAATACACCTGTAATTATTTAAATAAATCAAGATATTATTCATATACTTTCAAAATATATACTTTATTGCAACCCTATACACCATTAGAACCACTTCAAAGGAAACTGTAATGGTTTTAAATCCGTTTTATATATGTATGTTTGTTATTTATGTTTTTGTTGGTATTTTATAAATCTTTATGTTTTATTTTATATAAAATCTGTTTTTACAAAGGAACATTTATTCCAGGGTGAGCCAGTGGAGAGAAACACAGCATAAATGGTGATATTTGATATTCACCTGACCAAAAAATTAACAAAACTATTAGTCCACACCAGAATACATATGTTTATACAAACCCACCACACATTTCTTTTGAAATACATAGCATGGCCCAGCAATACACAAAAAGTAGACCCAAAATCAAATACATGAATATTATATAATGTCACACATAACATAATATTTGGCCATTGTCCACTTTGAAAACCCAAATTTTGAAAAGCACTGCTACTGTCTAAGAATACACTGTATTTTTAGAAATGATCATGTATCTCATGTATTTCTAATCCCCTGATTTGACGTAAAATGTGATCTTGCTTATTTTCAATGTTACCTTTGGCAGGAATTGTATTATCTACAACCAGCCAAACTAGTGTATCCAACGTAATCAATAAGGTGGTGTTTGTTGATGCTGATGGTAACTACAAAGCTGGGATCCCCTACAATGGAGTGGTGAGTTATAAAATATTTTTTTGCACTAACACAAACAGACTTAATTTATTAAAATAGAACTATAGGCAAAACATTTTTTTTCATTTTGGGTAGAGCAAGGAAGGGTTATAACCCCTGCCAGTTTTTTTTTTTTGCCATCTGCGTCCCATTTTGGAGCTCTCTCTTCACTTCCTATCTCATAGTCAAACAGGAAGTGAGAAGAAATCCCTGCAAATTAAGGGAATCTTTAGCCCCCCCCCCCCCCCCAGGTCACCAGAACTAGTATCCCCATTAGAAGATTTCCCCTTTATTTTCTGGGGACAACCCAAAATTTGGGGGTTTCTTTACTTCCACTTTGATAATGGTAAGCAGGACAAATAGAGAGGGTGGATCTCCTTAATGGGGGCACAGACAGCAATAAAAACTGACAGGGGTTCTAATCCATCTCCAGTCTATCCAAAACTAAAACAAAAGGTTTTTCCTTTAGCTATACTTTAAAGCGGTAGTAAACCGCAAAAAATCTTCTCTCTGCAAGGTAAGATCATAATGTGCTAGTATGCATTGCATACTAGCACATTATGAAGGAGTTACCCGAAAACAAAACCCTCCAGCAGAGCACTGTGTCAGCTCCCCAGGGCTTCCATCTTCACCTTGTCTTCCTTCCAGGTTTGCGGGCTGCGACCATTTGGCTGGGTGAGCTACAATGATGTCACATTCCTGCACATGCATGCGTGAGCCTCGGCCTCGGTAGTGGCACGCCGTCCATTGAGAGCGCAGTGTGCATGCGCCAGCGACATCACCAGTGCTGCTAAAGTAAATATTTCCTAAACAATTCACATTTGGGATATATTTGCTGTACCTACAGATAAGCCTTATTATATACTCATACTCCTTGATCTTTCCGCTGCCTTTGATACAGTCGACCACCAGTTCCTCCTCAGTAAACTCCACTCCATTGGCCTCCGTGACTCTGCTCTCTCCTGGTTCTCCTCTTACCTTTCTCAGTACACTTTCAGTGTCACATACAACTCCTCCTCCTCCGCTCCACTTCCTCTTTCTGTTGGGGTACCCCAAGGTTCTGTCCTTGGGCCCCTCCTTTTCTCTCTCTATACCTCCTCCCTGGGCCAACTGATAACCTCCCATGGCTTCCAATACCACCTCTATGCTGATGACACCCAGATCTATCTCTCCACTCCCCAGCTCACCCCTTCAATCTCCTCACGAATCACAAATCTACTAAGCGACATATCAGCATGGATGTCACATCACTACCTTAAACTCAATCTTTCAAAAACTGAACTTGTAATATTTCCTCCTCCCGATCCCCCACTCATGACTTTACCATTAAGATCAACAGCACAACCATTGGTCCTTCCCCTAATGCCAGGGTGCTAGGCGTAATCCTAGACTCCTTTGGGCCCCACATTCACTCACTGGCTAAATCCTGCCGCCTCAACCTTCGGAACATTTCCAAAATCCACCCCTTCCTGACCAATGACTCCACAAAACAACTTATCCACGCCTTGGTTATATCCCGCCTCGATTACTGCAACTCCCTCCTCACTGGTCTACCGTTACACAGGCTATCCCCCGTTCAGTCTATTATGAATGCTGCTGCTAGACTCATACACCTTACCAACCGATCAGCGACTGCTGCCCCTTTCTGCCAATCCCTCCACTGGCTTCCACTAACCCAACATATAAAATTCAAAATACTAACCACAGCTTACAAAGCCATCCACAACACTGCCCCTAGTTACATCACCAGCCTCATCCACAGATACCGCCCAAATAGCCCACTCTGCTCCTCCCAGGATATCCTCCTCTCTAGCTCACTCATCACCTCCTCCCACGCTCGCCTCCAGGACTTCTCCAGAGCCTCTCCCATCCTCTGGAACTCCCTACCACAGCATGTCCGGTCAGCCCCCACCCTGTCTACCTTTAGGCGATCTTTGAAAACTCACTTCTTCAGGGAAGCCTACCCCACCTCCACCTAAGGACTGTACTTGAATCACCTCCGCCAGATCATCCCCCACAGCTATCACCTTTTGTATCACCTGCCCCTTTCTTTAGATTGTAAGCTCCACAAGCAGGGCCCTCCTATTCCTTCTGCACCGAAATGTATTATATATTGTACTGTCTCCCTTATATTGTAAAGCGCTACGCAAACTGTTGGCACTATATAAATCCTGTATAATAATAATAATAATATGCTTATCTGTATGTGCAAGAGAAAACATTTACTTTACTACCACTTTAAGCTCTAAAAATCATTATTTTTTAGCAATGAGAGCCAAAGATAGCTGATAGCAACCATCAGATGACAGAAGATAGTGATGATTAGGAAGCCTGTTGCATGTGCATGTAGCTCTATAAGCTGAGCATAATGCTGCCAAGCTTCTCCTAAGGCTAGTACACATGAAACTTTTAAGATGTCTTTATTTAAGGGTCTATTTATTAAAAAAAAATGGCTATGCTAATGTCTCAAGCTTTTGCCCAGTCTTCACAAATAATCACCATAATTTACCTAATACGTTTATTTCCTATGATTGTCAGCTCCATCTAGTGGTCATAATCTAGTGGTATATTTTGTGAATAAAGGATTTCAGGAAAATAGCACATTGTTTACTAGATGGAGCTGAGGAATATGGGAAATAAAGGTATTAGAAAAACAACAGTGATTATTTGTGACGGCTTTGCAAATGTTTGAGACGTTCATCACACACAAAAAAAATGTGTTCTAAATAGATCTCTAAGTGCTTGTTATGTATTTTCTACACATTCTGCTTTAATTTCATAAAATAAGAAAAATCAAAGCACAGACTGATCTCAGGCTCACCTTAATTTTACTCTATCATGTGAAAATCACAATTGGGAGATCACCCCAATATAGTAAGTGCTTGAACAAGGATCTTTATGGCAAGATCATCAAGAATTCTTCTAATGAAAGCTGCAAATTAATAAATGTTGAGAAAAATTTTTGAGATTATATTAACATGTTAAAGGCTAAGTTCACCTTTTGGAGCATGTTACACATTACACCCTTATTTAGGGCGTACCGTGTAATATACTCCAGCAGTAAGTAGTCCCTTCAACTGCATGGTTCGGCTGTGTGGGGCTCTGACCACACAGCCGCGTTATCCATTCACATGAATCTGTGAATGAATAAACTACATGTCCCGCCTCAGATGGCTTGCAGTTCTCAATGTACTGCACATAGTGTTGACAGTATGCCCGCTGACTTTTTCTTCCTCAGATCAGAATTATCCAGCTCTGCTTTTCAGTCCCAGGCCTGATGATGACAGCACTCCACTCTTTTTTGCAATTACAGTGGCAAATACAATAAAATATCTGCTAGTTGTTTCTGTTATTTTATATTGTAGAGAACATTAACAAGACATATAATGATGGCTTGTATGAAAACCAATTCAAATAGTGCTCTGTAACTGTGATGGCTCATATACAAGTTTCCAATTCACATCTGGTATTGTGCCGACTGACTATAAAATAAAATCATGATTAATACTACTTATTCAGCCTAATTGTTTCTTCTTATATCTTCTTTCAGATTAAAGTGGTGGATTCCAGTGATAATCCTGTACCAGGCATTAATGTTTACCTAACAAATAATGAGCCTGCAATCAATAATACCTTAGTGACAGATGACAATGGGCGAATTTCTTTCACACTGGATACAATTGGCTGGAAGGGACAAAAAATCCTGAGGGTACTAAAATTTATGGCCAGATATATTTCATGTGTCTCCTTTAGCTTATATGCAGGGGGTTAGATATAAAGGTTTTCTTTTGACAACATTTACGATGTTTCATTGCACTGTTCCACTGTGCCTAGTCTTGGAATCCCTTTAACTGGGCTACTACACCCAGGGGGTAGAATGGTCTGATTGATCACATGATCATTGAGAGTGGCCAGTCTCGCAGGCTCCCGATCATTACTAGAAACCAAGAGCTGTCTTTGACAACTTGGCCACTGTGCACCATGACACACTGTTGTTGTAGCACACCACAAGTGACAGTAAAGTGTGAACCATTTATATGTTGTGGAGCGCAGCTTTAAACAAAAAAAAAAATATGCTTGAGGTATTAAAGCCCAAATAAACTATCAGCCTAAATTAGTTAAGTACACTCCAGGTACATCAAAGCAAGAGATTTTCAAGAGATGTTTCCTTTTAGAACCAGTGAAAGGAAAAGAATCACAGTGATGAGCTCAACTATGTGTTACTTTTGGTATCGGTAGTCACATCATAACAGAAAATAACGAGAACATGGCAACACAAATGTTTCTTTTTGGTAGCTTTTATCCCCAAAACTGGAAAATACAGTAACACTTTTAGAATCTTTAATTTCATGTCCAGGACAGGAAGATAAAATTAACAGCAGATTCGGGTTCAGTATAAAAATTCACTTGTTACATAAAAGAGACCAGGTAAAGCATGCCTCCCTTAAAGGATAAGTTCACCTTTTAACAAAAAATAACAAATTCACATTTTTTTGCAGGTTAAAAAAATGTGCATTTACAATGTTTTGTTTTGGGAGCCTGGAAAGCATTGCACCAGCAATCTGCTGATCACTGATGCCATGCAGGACTCCTGCAGACCTGTCAGTGTATCTCTGTTCTCATACCTTGTATGGGCAGCAGGGCTGTCTTTAAGGCAGGGAAAAAAGGGCTACTGCCCCAGGCCCTGTCAGTGTTATGGGGCCCAACATTCTACCACATAGTGCAGCTGCAGGGAAAAGGAAGCAGTAAGCAGCAGTGCCCATAACTGACTGCGGAGCTGGCCGAGTGGAGAGATACACTCAGGGGCGGACTGACCATTTGGAAACTCGGGCACTGCCCGAGGGCCCGGGGCCAGTAGGGGGCCCCATGAGATGCCCCTGGTACCTTTTTCATAGGCTTTTTTGAGTTTGGGCAAGGACACAGGGGCCCCATGATCCCCTATTGCACGGGGGCCCCATGAGTTGTCAGTCCGCCCCTGGATACACTGACAAGCAGTGGCAAGGGCAAGAGGAGTGAGGGAGGATTGCAGAGAGGAGAGGATGACATCCTCAAGATGGCATAGATGAGCAGACAGTTGGTATGTGAAGTGATTAACAACTTAAATGAGCTCATCTGCTTTGCCATGCTGAACTCACTGCTTTAGTCATTTTAGTCACTCACCTCTTCACTTGCTATGATCATTGTCAGTTTTGTCAGACTGAATATAATCCTAGCCTGCCTGATTGACTCCATCTTTATTGCCATGTGTCAAATTCTGTTGCAATGCAAGACAACACTTCTACTCTGGCAAGAGTACTCCTATGTGAGTTTGTAGCATAATCTACCTAGCAACCAATCAATTAGCAGTAATGATGTGTGGTAGCCTCTAGCAACCAATGGGTGAACAGTAATGATGTGCAGTAACCTCTAGCCACCAATTAAATATTTGCCCAGGGTACAATGAATAGTGAAGATGGTCCTGATGGCAGGCAGATACACACTGACAGGAAGAATCAATAAACTACCATAGCATTCAACAGCGCCATGGTAGTTTATGGAAACTATAAGCCGACAGCCGCAAAGGCTGTCAGAACTGGTATTTTTCCCATTCACATAACACTTCGGCATCTAAATTGGAATACCACCTACTTAATATTTGTTACATGACCCCATCACATAATATAAAAAAAAAATTGCAGCTTGTCTTTTTTAGGTTCTCTATTCTGGACCCATCAGCAAGGAAAAATTGAAAAATCCTACATAGTTCTCTATGTTTTTAGGGGGGATGGGCACCTGTGTTTACCATAATTAATCCTGTCTTTACTGTGCAGGCAGATCCTCATTATCAATTTGAACATTGTCTGCCCTACCAAAGGGTTAACGGTTTTGAGGCTAGGTTTCTTGCATTTCATGTTAATGAGGACAGACTTACTCTATCATTGTTCAAAAAACCTTGCAGTCAGGCATGTCAGCTTCATCTTTAAAAACCATCTAAAAGGTAAGAAATATAGATTAAAAAATGAGGTGTCTGGGTCCCCCTCCTCCCCTGAGTAGCGCAGTTTAACCACTGAGGACTGTGTGTATGGACTCTCATCCCCATCTCTCCTAGCAACATCAATGGACCAATCAGCAGTAAGGAGGAGAGAAGCAGATGTTTCTGGAAAAAAGATTCTCTTCAGAGTGTTACAGGACTGTGCTAGGGAACTCCACCTAACAGAGAAAGAGAGCCTGTGTCAGATGTGGATGCTCCTCAGAGTGTGACAGGAACTGAGTGTGACAGGGTCATGTCCAGAAACTCCACCTAACAGAGAGAGAGAGAGCCTGTGTCAGATGTGGATGCTCCTCAGAGTGTGACAGGAGCTGAGTGTGACAGGGTCATGTCCAGAAACTCCACCTAACAGAGAGAGAGAGCCTGTGTCAGATGTGGATGCTCCTCAGAGTGTGACAGGAACTGAGTGTGACAGGGTCATGTCCAGAAACTCCACCTAACAGAGAGAGAGAGCCTGTGTCAGATGTGGATTCTCCTCAGAGTGTGACAGGAGCTGAGTGTGACAGGATCATGTCCAGGAACTCCACCTAAGAGAGACAGAGCCTGTGTCAGCGGAGCCATGTGAGGGACAGCAGAGGGTACAGAGTGGGACCCGAGTATGTAGGGACCTAGCTACCTACCAGAGTCATCACAGACAACCCAGAGTGAGCAGATACCCAACTGGAGAGACGACTGCTGCTGTGTCGCTGGGTCTGGTGAGTGGGCCTTGTGGCCGCTACCTGTTATCACTCTTAGAAAGTGAGCCATTAGGAAGTACCTTTCAGCTACCCGACAGCCCTAATACTGCCGGCAGGCCTAATTGATGGTCTTATTGCACTTACAGGGCGATTAGCTTAGCTGACCATTCAGGACTAAACAATTTCCCTAACAGTTGTTGCCCTGAGGCCTTGTCTGCTTTTGTTTTTTTTATTTAAGGGGTATCCCAGCTAATCCCTTAGAGTGCTGATTTACTAACTTGCCCTTCTGATTCTAGTTAAGGGTATAAAATAAAATTTTTGCCAATTTAACATTATTATTTCACTGTCTAGCAGACTGTGTCCTAATCAATCAGCTGTGTGTTCATCTATGTTCAATTTGCTATTTATTCTAACCTGTATCAATAGATTAAGCACATTTAGCACTAAGCATGTGTGTATCTATTCACTGGTAGTAACCCACAGCCAGGTTAAAGGTATTTTACACTTGTGTATTCGTGCTTGCAGTGATTTTTAGACAACCAGGTGTGTCAGAGGGGCTGACGTTGTTCTTGGAGTCAAGGCACAGAACAGAGAACTCATATTTACCAAGCCCCTCCTGCAGGGGTGGCACTACATTGGCATGCTGTGTGAATGAAAATATATAAGAAACATATAGTGAGGTTTTCTCAAATTTGACAGCAAAAGTGGAAATACGCTTTAAGCTTATAAAAATAATGGTTCTTTTTGCTGAAGTAACCCTTCTGTAATTATTGGATGGCTTATCGGGCAATGTAAATGAAATCCTGCACCTAGGCTCTCCTGAGACAGCAACATACTCCAGGTTGAAGGGGTGAAATCTTGTGCAATTGTCCTACCACATGGATTCATGCTATTACTTACACTTCTACTTAGGGCTTCCACCATGACTCGGGATGTCCTGTATATAGCACTTCTGGGTCCCAAATTGGTGGCTGAAATCTGAGAAATTCAAATGCATTTAACTGAAATACATGCAATGTAATTGATGTAAGGGTTAATGAAATCAGGCCTGCATTAACATATGTCTTTTTAGATCTGCCTGGAGTTTAGATTTCATCTAAACAGTATTAGAAACCATTTTGAACAAAATGCCCTTCATAAATTAATGCACTTGTTTTATTTTTAAAGGCAAGGACAAACCTGCAGAAGTCGACATTTTTTCAAGACTTCAAGTTCCCTAGATATGGCGATGCACAACTGAATCTAAAACCCTTCTACTCCCGTTCTAAGAGCTTTCTGAAGCTCCACTCTGTGGACAGAGTCCTCCCATGCGAAGGGCAGCAGGAGGTGAAGGTGGAATTTATCATTAAACACACAGAGCTGAAGAATGAAACTGACCACTTAGACCTCCATTATATGGTGAGCACCTTGTCAGATTATTGTAAATTAAATTAAATGCCCAACCAAACCTCTATCCTCGATCCTGTCCCTACACTATTCACTTCACAAATGTGTGCCGGGTGCAGTGGGGCAGTGCTATTTATTAGCATTGCCCTTGGTTAAGATGACCACACAGATCATTCAGGGCAGGAGTGTCCAATCAGATGGCTGCTCCCCTGATGACAACTACACAAGCCTCAGAGGAACAAAAGATCCTCTCAACCTCTATTCCCTCTACACAGTGGCTGTCAGAATATCATCACTTAGAGAGAGGAGGCTGAACTGTCTACAATCTGGAATTAAAAAAAAAAAACTGCCGGAGGACACTACCTTAGGAAGCTGGGCTGGAGAATGACCCTTTTCAATGAAGAGTGTCACAGAGAAGCTGATTGGAGATCTATCTCTGGACATTGTGAGTAGGACCTTTTACCTAGACCTTCAGGGGTGCCTGTGCTTTAAGGGTCAGATACCAGAGGCTGTTACAACTGTGACTGACCTTACAGAGACTCAGATTAGCTGACTGTCCCCTCTACCTCCAGAAATACTTAAGGCTGCTACTGAAGAAGGTGGAGAATCTGTCCTCTAATGCCTTCGTATATTTTGGAGTATCCCGTACCCTCATCCCTCTACCTACCTGTGTTCAAGTACTGCAATAAATCTTGAAGGACACCACTAGACTGAGTCCGAATGTTGTCAACGTGCTTCTGGAGCTTGTACCTGGGCTGGCAGCCATTGATCACGTAAGAAGGGCCTGGTATATTTTCAGTAGACCATTCAAAATGCTAAGTTTTAAAGAGTGATTATATATCTTCTGTTGCAATTGCAAAGAAAACAGATTGTCTCAGAATTTTTTATAAAGATAATTTATTGTATATTAGGTCACACATTCAGTTATTAATTGTTTTTCTTCAAGGCTGAACACATTAGGATTGATTCACAACAGGCAAATAGGCAGTTCATTTTGCAAAGGAATTTTCCACAAAACTTAGTGAATGTGGTGGAATTTTACTTTGCAGTTTTGCTTGTACATGACTGGAATTTAAAAGTCAGCAGACCTTCATCTCATTTGCTAAGCTTTGGGGGTAATTTCCTTGCAAAGCAACATCCCTTCCAAAGTGAACAGTATATTCACTGTTAGTAAATCAACTCAATTCCTCCTTTTAGTTTTTTTTCTTTTCACTGAGGTCTTACACCCCCTTATTCATTAATTATCTCTTGAGTTAATAACTCTTTAATTTTTGAAAATAACCAATTAACACCTTTTACCTGATTTTCTTGCAGTGGAATAACAGATAGGTGTAAACTCTCTATGTTCATACATTGTTCTTTTGTCTAAATCCTCAGTAACAACTAGTAAAGAACCAGAATAATATACATATTCAATTACATAAAAACAGCTAATTTTCTTTTATAGGTGACTTCTACAGGTTCTATATATGATTTTGGGTCTTTAAAAATTGGCTTCAATAGCAAAAGTAAAGGTAAGATTTTTTTCGAGTGGTACAAGATGGGTAATAGGGAAGTGTGTTTAAGTTAATTCATATAAATATACAGAACATAATATATATTTATAAATATATGGTTTTCGGAAGGTTTTAGTAGTCGAGAAATTAGCAACATTTGATGGTGTGGTGACCACAAGCCTCAGTGATGTGCCTCTTAAAACAGACTGTAGAAGTCAAAATCATAGCGACTACCATCAGTGTGGAATCCATATAGAAATGCAAGAAAGGCCCTTCTCCTTTCTTCTCATCTCCATAAAGGGGTTCCTTCATATGCTGACCACCACTGTATAATTATATTTCTTATAACGCCACCAGACACCAAGAAATATAACTCCTAGAAACCAAACATAGGACTTGTGTTGAAAAGCTTTCAGGCATCAGGCAAGTTTGACATTTACATAAAAGTCTACAGGGATGCAAAATCTGTTTAAAACAGGTCAGAAAGAGGTCAACTGCACCTTTCAAGGAATTTAAAATGATCTCAGAAGTGTCTCAAGCTGATCCCATCAACACAAGCCCAAGGCCCATTACCACAGGCCCTTATTGTGCTTGCTCTTTCCTCTTGCCCACTCTCGCTTTGTGTAGATGTAGAGGATAGTCCAGTACTATTGCCTTCCTGATGCAACTGCATAGGAAAGTCTGCCAACAAATATATAATGGCATGTATCCAGTCTGTAGTCTGTAAATACTTCTAGAAAAATATACTGTGCAGCACACCCTCTGAGGCAATTTGTTTGGAAGAATGACCATCACAAAAATGTGCAAAAATAGTGGGGACAGTGCCTGTATGTTGCTGCTTCTGTGCCAGTAGGTAACACCTGGTAACCTAGTAATTATAGTTTGTCAAGTAAATTAATTATTTTCCTTTAGATTTTAAACAAAAGGGCTGACTAACAAAAGCAAATGTGGGTGCAAAATGGTGTGGCATGCTAATAATCCAAAATAATTCTCCTCAAGAGCACTGGTGTCCAAATTGCAGCCCTATTCTTCCCTCGGACAGTAACAATTGGGTGTCAATCCCCCACTGATACCAATGATGGGGCACTATTTCTCCCACTGACACCTACAGTGGGGTACTTTTACCCCCACTGACAGCAATGACGGGAGCACTATCCCTCCCACTAATTCCAATGATTGGACACTATTCCTCCTTCTCCTAACCACAGGAGTGCTATGTAATGTAATTTTTTTTACTCTCACTGACTACAGAACCTGAGGCATTATCTACACCCACTAGCCACAGTCCAACCCCCCTAAAGTCTGAAGGACAGTAAACTGGCCCTTAGTTGGAAAGTTTGGAGACCTCTGCTCAAGAGTATTGTCCCAATCTGTGACATGTACAGATTAATTCACTTATTCCTACTGGCTCGTTTAACGACAGTGTTTTCCTCTTAAAGCTACATTCACAATAGCCTTCTGTGTTTAGGTTAAGTACAAGAGAATTATCTGGGAAGCATAAAAACTGATTTTCAGATCAAGTTCACTTGCTTTTAAATGTACTTGCCTTTACATGTGCTTAAATGTGTTCAGAATATGTAAATTGCCCTTGAGTGTGAAGATTTGTGTTTTTTCTAAACACAGCTAAACAGAACACACCTAATTGCAGGTAAAAGCACATTGTGAACTATAATATCAAAATTGTTGCATTTATATTATTTTTAAATGTACAGTCAGGTCCATAAATATTGGGACATTGACACAATTCTAACATTTTTGGCTCTATACACCACCACAATGGATTTGAAATGAAACGAACAAGATGTGCTTTAACTACAGATTGTCAGCTTTAATTTGAGGGTATTTACATCCAAATCAGGTGAACGGTGTAGGAATTACAACAGTTTGCATATGTGCCTCCCACTTGATAAGGGACCAAAAGTAATGGGACAATTGGCTTCTCAGCTGTTCCATGGCCAGGTGTGTGTTATTCCCTCATTATCCCAATTACAATAAGCAGATAAAAGGTCCAGAGTTCATTTCAAGTGTGCTATTTGCATTTGGAATCTGCTGCTGTAAACTCTCAAGATGAGATCCAAAGAGCTGTCACTATCAGTGAAGCAAGCCATCATTAGGCTGAAAAAACAAAACAAACCCATCAGAGAGATAGCAAAAACATTAGGCGTGGCCAAAACAACTGTTTGGAACATTCTTAAAAAGAAGGAACGCACCGGTGAGCTCAGCAACACCAAAAGACCCAGAAGACCACGGAAAACAACTGTGGTGGATGACCGAAGAATTCTTTCCCTGGTGAAGAAAACACCCTTCACAACAGGTGGCCATATCAAGAACACTCTCCAGGAGGTAGGTGTATGTGTGTCAAAGTCAACAATCAAGAGAAGACTTCACCAGAGTGAATACAGAGGGATCACCACAAGATGTAAACCATTGGTGAGCCTCAAAAACAGGAAGGCCAGATTAGAGTTTGCCAAACGACATCTAAAAAAGCCTTCACAGTTCTGGAACAACATCCTATGGACAGATGAGACCAAGATCAACTTGTACCAGAGTGATGGGAAGAGAAGAGTGTTGAGAAGGAAAGGAACTGCTCATAATCCTAAGCATACCACCCTCATCAGTGAAGCATGGTGGTGGTAGTGTCATGGTGTGTGGCATGTTTGGCTGCCAATGGAACTGGTTCTCTTGTATTTATTGATGATGTGACTGCTGACAAAAGCAGCAGGATGAATTCTGAAGTGTTTTGGGCAATATTATCTGCTCATAGTCTGCCAAATGCTTCAGAACTCATTGGACGCCGCTTCACAGTGCAGATGGACAATGACCCAAAGCATACTGCAAAAGCAACCAAAGAGTTTTTTAAGGGAATGTTTATGCAATGGCCAAGTCAATCACCTGACCTGAATCCGATTGAGCATGCATTTCACTTGCTGAAGACAAAACTGAAGGGAAAATGCCCCAAGAACAAGCAGGAACTGAAGACAGTTGCAGTAGAGGCCTGGCAGAGCATCACCAGGGATGAAACCCAGCGTCTGGTGATGTCTATGCGTTCCAGACTTCAGGCTGTAATTGACTGCAAAGGATTTGCAACCAAGTATTAAAAAGTGAAAGCTTGATTTATGATTCTGTCCCATTACTTTTGGTTCCTTAACAAGTGGGAGGCACATATGCAAACTGTTGTAATTCCTACACCGTTCACCTGATTTGGATGTAAATACCCTCAAATTAAAGCCGACAGTCTGCAGTTAAAGCACATCTTGTTCGTTTTATTTCAAGTCCATTGTGGTGGTGTATAGAGCCAAAAATGTTAGAATTGTGTCGATGTCCCAATATTTATGGACCTGACTGTAAATAAGACAATGCTCCCAAACCTACCATGTCGTCCTCAATCATTGTATCAAGCACATCGGGTGCTGGCCAACATGGGCCTGTCAGCACTCCACTATTCTGTAATTCCGTAATGACGTCGCTTGTGGTAAATCTTTATTAAACCAGCAAAAACACACTCAAAGTCTCCACCTACAAGCCACCTCTCTGATGCATTTTAACCTTATGGGCCTAGTTCTAGATATGAGTGTTTTTTTGTTGGCTCAAAGATTCGCCATACAGTCGTAGGCAAAAATATCAGCACCTCTGCATTTCTGTGCATCACTTCACCCAGAAAATTGTTGCAATTACAAATGTTTAGGCATTTTTATATTTATTTTTTTTGTTTGTATTGGTATGACACAAAAAAAGCAGAGAAACAAAAAGCTGAACCTGACACATTCCACGCAAAGCCCCACAAATGGACTAGACAAAATTATTGGCACCTTCTCAAAATTGTAAGAAATTATTGCATTCCAAGTTTGTGACGTTCCTGTAATTTGTAATTAAACTCACCTGTATCATTTAACAGGTGCTGATAATATAGAAATCACAGCGGCAACCAGTTAAAAATGTTAAAAATTAATTCAACCTTTCTGTTGTGTGTCTCTGTGTGCCACATGAAGCATGGAGAAGAGAAAGGGCAGCAAAGAATTGTCTGAGGATTCGAGGACAAAAATGATGGAAAAGCATAGATAACAATCTCAAGGTTACAAGTCCATCTTCAGAGATCTTAATGTTCCTGTGTCAACTGTGCTCAACATTGTCAAGATGTTTATAGCCCACGGCACTGTAGCTAATCTCCCTGGATGTAGATGAAAGAGAAAAACTCGATCAAAGATTGCAAGGAAAGATTGTTTGAATGGCGGCTATTGAAGCTCCATCATCTTTCAGCCAAATTCAAGCTGACCTTCAGGCACAGGCAACAACTGTATCAGCTTGCACTGTATGTTGCCATCTGAATGAAAAGGGATGCTATGGTTGGGGACCCAGGAGGACCTCCCTGCTGTCACAGAAACCTAAAAAAGCCAGATTGGAGTTTGCCAAAACTTACCTGAGGAAGCCAAAATCTTTTTTGAGAGAATGTGCTGTGGACAGACTAAACAAAATTGCAGCTTTTTGGTAAAGACCATCATTCTACTGTTTTCAGAAAAGGCAATGAGGCCTTTAAAGAAAAGAATACAGTCCTTACAGTCAAACATGGTTCACTGATGTTTTCGGGTTGCTTTGCTGCTACAGGCACTGGATGTCTTCACCGTGTGCATGGCATTATGAAATCTGAAGAGTACTAAAGAATTCTGGGGTGCAATGTAGGGCCCAGTGTCAGAACGTTGAGTCTCCATTAGAGGTCATGGGTCTTACAGCAGGACAATGACCTAAAGCACACATCACAAAGCACCCAGAAATGGTTTCAGACAAAGTGCTGGAGAGTACTGAACTGGCCAGCAATGCGTCCGGATCTCAGTCCCATAGGGTACCTGTGGAAAGATCTAAAAACAGCAGTTGGGAAAAGAAACCTTCCAATCCGAGAGACCTGGAGCAGTTGGCGAAAGAAGACTGGTCCAAAATTCCAGTAGAGAGATGTAAGAAACTCATTGATCGTTACAGGAAGGGGTGTGCTACCAAATATTAAATTGAGGGTTCCAATAATTTTGTCCAGTCCATTTCTGGGGTTTTGTGTGGAATGTTTCAGATTTGTCTTTTTTGATTCTTCACTTTTTTTGTGTCATACCAATACAAACAAAAGAGAACACATGAGAATGCCTAAACAATCATAATTGCAACAATGTTCTGAGCAAAGTGGTGCTGACAGAAATACAGGGGTGCCAATATTTTTGGCCATGATTGTAAGTGACTTCATTGGTGTGGGGCCATCTACATATTTGTTTCTAATAAAATATAATGTTACCTAAAAAGTAAATTCAAAATGCAAAGCCCAAAAAAGTTGCCTTTTTTCTCTTCACTAGAACTTGCTAACCTCTAGTATTTGTTTTTTTCAAAATTTTGCAGATCTGTATGGCAAGGCTACATTGAAGCTCCCATTAAGTGCAGGAAAATCTTCTACTCTGTGGACACTTGTGTACACTATGTTACCAGATGGAGACATTTTAGCCGACTCTGCAAACTATAAAGTTCAGAGATGCTTCAAGAATAGAGTGAGTGTTCTTGTTTGATTTTTCTGATTGTGCATATACATGGAAGTACCTATTTGTTGCTGTGGTATGTACGGAATTCACAGGCTTTTATACTCCAGAGCTGTGACAGTTCCCTTTTGTATACACGGTTTGCTGGATAGTACTTTCCCATTATAATTTGTATGTGCAGTTTTTTTTCAAAAAACTAAGTTTAAAAAATAGATAAATAAAGTGAGTGGCCTGAGCATGACCTATATTTTGTATTAATTTCAGATCCTAAAAGTGAACTTGTGGGTTCATCTTACTTTCTAAAGTGTCCCAAGGGTACCTGTGTGTACCAACTTACTCTAAAAATAAAACTGTTGTAATAGATCTGTATGTTCTAAAATGTTTGGTTAAAATGAACAATGTTGCAAGCAGGAATCGAGTCCACTTTCATCCCTATGGATGTCTGGCTGAAAGAATATCTGGGAACCAAAGGCCCCTTTCACATGAGTGGACAGATGGGGTCTACCTGTCTGTTTTTCAGGTGGACCCTGTCAGTCCATCTATAGACTTCTAATCTCAGGCATCCAATCAGATTCTGTGTGCCAAAAATCAGTTCCCCTTCCGTCCAGTGGATCAGATTGGATGACAATTGAGTGGAAATAGACAGGTGGTCCGTTTCCATTCGACCGTCCCATTGAAATCAGCAGGCAGTGTTCGCCTGCTCAGCGGGGATCAGCAGAGAGATCCCCCGCTGAGCAAGTGGAGTACGCTAATGGATCCGTCCTGCCTAAAAGGAGCCAAAGACTGTCAACCTGTCTGGTGGAGGGTAGAATAGTCACTCTACGAGGATACAAACCAGTAACATGGGACTCCTATGTCATGTGGGCCCAGGTGTTAAACAAGACTTATCTGTAGACTAGGCCTGGAACCACCAAACAAAGTCGGGCCCCTTGTGTGTGTGCAGGTGTTTTCCAACATGAGCTAAAGGCTGTGGAATAGTGAACAGAAGGGGTGGTTTTATTACAGGGTCCCAGACCTTTCATCACTGAAAATGTTTAGTTAGGCTATGTGGCTGGAAATGGCTTAACAGCCTCCAACAAGGAGACACTACAAACATGTAGGCAGTTAAGTTAAAATACCTGCTGTATTGACTTGGGACAACTTGATGAGATGAGTCCGTAGGTTCACTGTAATTCCTTAAGATGGATAAGCTTGCTGCCTGTTAAAACAGTGTTTTGGGAACTTTAGTTGCATGTGTTCCATCATAATGATCTTTGTCATATCTAGGCTCTACCTTTTAACCCTTTTGCTGCCATTGATGAAAGATTTACATCTGCAACATTGGGGTTATTTACACAACCTTCAAGCTGTAATAGTTGCTGGGAGTGTGTGTGTACTCTTTTCCAGCTGACTGTCGGCTTTGTGTTGAATGTGATTAAACCAGCTGTAAACCAACTCGATCACTTCCACAACTACTAGAAAGTGATTTTCCCCCTTCCAAATTTGTTCCAGGCTACCCTGCCACATCTACAGGTGCCAGGGCAGGCATGTGTCATCGTGTAGAGTAGTGGGTGATCAGCTGATCATTCCTCCAGTGAATGATTCCAGAGGGGGCAAGCATTTTTTTTCCTCAAGGGTCAGAGCTATGCTTAATTAGCTACAGTGGAGTGCAGAGGTTAGATTAGGGGCATAATAGTCCTTGATGTCACCATAAAAGCACCTATCACCAGTATTATGCTATCATAATTATAGGGGCTTGTCAGCCCTATAAAGGGATAACAAAGTTAGGTGAAAAAAAAAAGTTTAAGTACTGTAAATTAAAGTAACATACAGTATAATTGCTAAATAAAACACACAAAGGATTCTTAACGCCTTAGTAAATGATCTCTCCAAAGCAAGGGGATATCTCCTCTAAGACAGTTGTCACCAGAAAACAGAAGTTGAGTGTTATACCGATTACACCATCAACAAAAGTAAAAGTTTGGATTTTCAATGATGCTTTTATTGATTCTTGAAAAACACAATACTAAGCATGACTTTTTGGGTATCACAATTTATTCTGAAATACAACCAAATCTTACATTCAGAACTCTTAATCATACATCATAAAACTATTCTTACATAATAAAAATCACATTATAGCTGGTAATTCTTTTCAAAAATGGTTGAAGATAGTGGAACCATGCATATTACTTTGATTCTTTCCAGGTGTAATTTCTATTACATAACGTATTATTGTGCATATTAGAATTTAAAATGTTTACAAAATCCATATTTTCTCAACGTGTTTCATGAACAACGTCCACTTCTTTAGGAGAAGATTATTGATGGGTGTTGGTCTGGAATAATCTTCAACCATTATAAAAATCAAGTGTCATATTATCGTCTAGGTGTCCAACAAGTCCAAAGGGGCTAAGAGGTGAGGAAAGGATGCACAGAAGATATAAAAATGGGCAGATTATCCCTGCTGCCACAACCAAAGGATCACCCATGTGGCCCTATCATAATCTTCCGAATCCACCTCATTTCATCCACCAAATGTTCTCCTAAATGGATGCTTTGTTATTTCTCATAAGATAAATATTGATCACTGTCTCAGTGAGAGAGAGGCTCTTCTGTCTCACAAAGACACTGACACATATGTATTTATCTCTATATTTATCTCTTTGTTGTTTCATGTATAAGTTGCATGTTTTTACTATAAGTTCATGTTTGAAGAAGAACCCAGCGTGCTTTGAAAGCTCACACTACAGTCTATTTAGCTAGTCAACATTTAGTATCACTGTAAATCCAATCCCTTTAACAGAAGTGGATTAAACAATCGACTTCTGTTGAGCATGGAAGCTCACACACTGATCAAAAATTCAGCCAGTTCCTGCTAGCCCAATTTTGATCAGTGTATGGCCAGCTTAAATATAAACCTACTTGACAAAAAAAATGGACTTCCCATATCTTTATATACTGGAGACAATGATTACCAGGCCCAATTGTGTAAGGGAATTTTTCAAGCAGGACCATAAACAGTATACATACACTTTAAATCAATACTCTTATTTTGCCGTGCCATATCATTGTTGTCATTTATCACTTTGCCAGGTATCAGTCGGCTTCTCACCAGATGAGATCCTCCCAGGATCTGATGTGTCTCTTCAGGTTCAGGCTGCTCCTGGCTCTCTCTGTGGTCTCAGGGTGGTGGATCAGAGTGTGGTGTTACTGAAACCAGACAAGGAGCTGACTGCTGACAAAGTGAGTTCTGTAACCATTCAGAAGAAGGTTATTGCTGTATTGTGAAAATCTTTCTATATATACCCTGGTTACTTATTTGTTTTAACTAGCTGAGGGCATTAGGTGTACATGGTAAACATTTTCAATGAAACGCCATTATCCATATACCTTTGACTCTCCAATGAATACTGTAAGATTGAGTAAAGTACTCTCCAAATGGCGAGCTGATCTGCCAAAATTGTTGGAAGAGGACTGGGGCTAGTGTATAAGCCATTATGTTACTAATATGGTCTCAACCAATGATAGGTTTATCCAACTGAAATTTCTTCACAGAGCCAACTACACCCCTGCTCGCTTGGCCGCCATATATTCTACAGTGTGTGCTAGATTTCAGCTGAGGGTGCATTCTGTCACATGGTCTGGACATCCTAAGATCCAGCTCTTCTGGACTCCTGTCCTGGATGTGTAATGATACGTATGACCTAGCTTTGAGTTTGGACCCCAGAGTACTGCTGCTGGGGGTGCTGGATGGTGCAGAGCTGGGTTGTTATGTTAAGCAGTTTGGTTTTTTTTTGCCTCCTTCTATGCCTATAGGGAGATCCTACTCAAGTGAAAGTCTCCCATGCTTCCTATTGTATCCTCCTAGCATGCAGCCATCAATACAGTATTACTTTTATATAAGTTGACCTACGAAAGTCATAATTGTACTAAGAAATTTGACAACATCTGGTAAGCCTGCATAGATTCTTGGGGCACACATGACTCTTCTCCTGTTTGAATATATCCATAGTTATATATTTTGGCCACTCTTCCCTGTACCCTTCCTCTCCCTCCCCTTCTTTCCTCCTTCCTTCCTTTTCTCCTCCTTTCCTTTTACTCCTTTCCTGGTCTCTCTTCTTCCCTCCTTTTCACTGCTGCACCCCTTGTTCCCAGCTATGTGTAGCACATGTCTGTAGCTAACTGCCTTCTATTATGTACCCCTGCAAATTATATAATTCTGTTTCTATCTAATTCTATTACGTTACTGCTTCGGTAATCTTAAACTTTGCACATTGTACTAAGTACAATATCCTTTTTTTCAATTAAATATTTCTGTGGAAAAATAATTCAATTACTTTTGTTGTTCTCCTCTTGCCCTGTTCTTCTCTCACTGCTGTTCTCTGGCTATTTTTGCTGCCAAATCCAAGCTGTTAAAATGACAGTGGGGAATCTCTATCTCAGCAACTGCAGCGTTTAACAACTTCCCTAACACCCTATACCAGAACTACTTGTAAAGGGCAGCAGGGCAGTGCAAAATCACATGTGTATATACAGTATGTGATTTTGCATTTCCGGGTAGGGGGCGTGCACGCTGCCCTACCCGCGCCACCATTGGCGGCTACAGCTGTCGATCACTGGATCCTGGCCAGAGACCCCACTCGCAGATTCCCTGCCCACACCCAGCGATCGCCGAGGAACACTGGCAGGGGAGAGGTCTGTATGTAAACAATACAGATCTCTCCTCTGTCAGTACCAGCATGCTGCTTTGTATTGCTCAGCATAGCAGAGCAATACAACGCAGCATGCTTACATAGTAAAGCACACACAGACAACATAGAATAACAGCACACAGTTAACCTTTTGATCACCCCAGATGTTAACCCCTTCCTGCCCAGTGTCATTAGTACAGTGTCAGTGGTTTTTATTAGCATTGATCACTGTATTAGTGTCACTAGGGATGTCAGTGGCTGTTGGTCAGTCAACCCCCACCCCGTGTCAGAATGCCCGCTACAGTCCCACAGTGAAGGAAATAAGTATTTGATCACTTGCTGATTTTGAATGTTTGCCCACTCACAAAGAAATGATCAGTCTAAAAATCAAATGGTAGGTGTATTGTAACACTGAGAGACAGAATAGCAACACAAAATTCAAAAGAAATGCATGTCTAACAAATTATGCATTGATTTGCATGTTCATGAGAGAAATAAGTATTTGATCCCCTATCATTCAGCAGTATTTCTGGCTACCAGGTGTCTTTCATACAGGTAACATGCTGTGATTAGTAGCAGACTTATAAAGGGAGTGCTGCTAATCTAATTTTGTTACCTGTATAAAAGACACCTGTCCACAGGAGCAAACAAACAATCAGATTCCAAACTATCCACCATGGCAAAGACCAAAGCGTTGTCCAAGGATGTCAGGGACAAGTTTGTAGACCTACACAAAGCTGGACTGGGTTACCAAACTATCACCAAGCAGCTTGGTGAGAAGGTGACAACAGTTGGTGCAATCATGCGCAAATGGAAGAAACACAAAACAACTGTCAGTCTCCCTAGGTCTTGTGCACCATGCAAGATCTCACCTCATGAAATGTCAATGATCATGAGAACAGTGAGGAATCATCCCAGAACTATACTTGAGGATCTTGTTAATGATCTCCAGGCATCTGGGACCACAGTCACCAAGAAAACAATTGGTAACACACTACGCCAACAAGGATTGAAATCCTGCAGTGCTCACAAGGTCCCTCTGCTCAAGAAAGCACATGTACAGGCCCGTCTGAAGTTTTCCACTGAACATCTGAATGATGCAGAGGATGCCTGGTTGAAAGTGTTGTGGTCAGATGAGACCAAAATCGAGCTCTTTTGCATCAACTCAACTCGCCGTGTTTGGAGGAGGAATGCTGCCTATGACCCCAAGAACACCATCCCAACTGTCAAACATGGTGACGGAAACATTCTGCTTTGGGGGTGTTTTTCTGCTAAGGGGACAGGACAACTGCACCGCATTAAAGGGACTAAGGATGGGGAAATATACTGTCAAATTTTGGGTGAGAACCTTCTTCCCTCAGACAGGGTATTGGAAATCGGTCATGGATGGGTGTTTCAGCATAACAATGACCCAAAACACATGGCCAAGGCAACAAAAGAGTGGCTCAAGAAGAAGCACATTAAGGTCCTGGCGTGGCCTAGCCAATCTCCAGACCTTAATCCGATTGAAAATCTGTGGAGGGAGCTGAAAGTTTGAGTTGCCAAAGTCAGCCACCAAATCTTAATGACTTGGAGAGGATCTGCCAAGAGGAGTGGGCCAAAATCCATCCTGAGATGTGTGCAAACCTGGTGGCCAACTACTGGAAACACCTGACCTCTGTGATTGCCAACAAGGGATTTGCCACCAAGTACTAAGTCATGTTTTGTGAAGGAGATCAAATACTTATTTCCCTTATGCATTTCTTTTGACTTTTTTGTTGCTATTCTGTCTCTCAGTGTTATAATACACCTACCATTCGATTTTTAGACTGATAATTTCTTTGTGAGTGGGCAAACATTCAAAATCAGCAGGAGATCAAATACTTATTTCCTTCACTGTAGTTAGGCACATATTTAATCCCTTGATCGTCCATGTTAGCTCCTTTCAAGCAAGTGTCATTAGAACAGTGGCAGTATATAGTATTATCACTGTTCACAGTATTAATGTCACTGGCAAAGTCATTGGCAGTTAGTGTCAGATTGCCAGTGGCACTCCTGCAGTCCCATTATAAGTCGCTGACCACCACCATTAGTAAAAAAAAAAAATAAAAAATTCCAGTATATATACTATAGTTTGTGGGCACTATAACTTTCACACAAACCAATCAATATACACTTATTGGGATTTTTTTTAATCAAAAACATGTAGCTGAATACATTTTGGGCAAATTTTATGAAGACATTTTTTTTATTGGATATGTTTTATAGTAGAAAGTAAAAAATATTTTATCAACATTTCTGGTCTTTTTTCGTTTACAGTGCCTTGAAAAAGTATTCATATCCCTTGAAATTTTCCACATTTTGTCATGTTACAACCAAAAACGTAAATGTATTTTATTGGGGTTTTATGTGATAGACCAACATAAAGTGGCACATAATTGTGAAGTGGAAGGAAAATGATACGTGGTTTTTAAAATTTTTTACAAATAAATATCTGATAAGTGTGGGGTGATTTGTATTCAGCCCCCTTTATTCTGATACCGCTAACTGAAATCTACTGGAACAAATTGTCTTCAGAAGTCACCTAATTAGTAAATAGAGTCCACCTGTGTGTGATTTAATCTCAGTATAAATACAGCTGTTCTGTGAAGCCCTCAGAGGTTTGTTAGAGAACATTAGTGAACAAACAGTATCATGGAGGCCAAGGAACACACCAGACAGGTCAGGTATAAACATATAAGAAGCTTGTATCACAACATACCCCTGAACCAAACCATTAAATTTGTATTGCACCTATAGTGGGTGCTATATTTTCCACTAACTATACTGGTTGCTGGGAGATGGAGGGACGTGGTGACGACCACGTGGTTTGCCGCGGAGGAGCGTTTGGGAAGAGGAGAAGCCGGCGTCCGGAGGGGAGATAGAGCCGTTGTTTTGCTCTCGGCTCGCTCCCAGTGGATGTGGAAGTACGAGGCATGGAAAGAGAGATCCGGAGGAATCCCTCCAGAGAGAGGACACAGTAAGGAGAAGCTCGGCCCCAGAAGGAAAAGCCTGAAGCCTGCCTCACAGAAGAGGTAAGGAGAGGGGAAGGTGAGTGAGAGCGGTTGGGCTGGACTGTTATCTGATATCCAGTGTACACTGCACAGCATGCAAGTAGTTGGGAGAGATTCCCAGGGGGTCTGAAGGTGCAGAGGATACAGAGTGGAGCAGGGGGACCTAAAAGACATAAAAATTAAGGGAAAAGGACATCCAAAAGGAGTAGTGGGTCAACAAAAATTATTAACATACCCCAGTGCTTTAAACAAGAGAGGAAAGTCTCACCAGTGGCATGAAAAATAAAAATGTTAAAGGAAGTGGGCCTAAGGGCTTCCAAACAGGTACGATAAAAAAATTTACTTCACAGGGGAATGTGACGCCAGAAAGATCTCAGGGAGCAAGTGAAAGAAGTGAAATGGAAATTAGTATGGAAAGCACCCCTAGACTATCCCTGGGAATGGTTAATAGCAGCCAACAAACGATAGAGAATGGAGGCGAAAGAACATGAAGAAGAACTACATATGCCAAATAAAAAAA